CATCAACTTGTTTTCCAGATCGTCGATTAATTCTCAAGTAAACTTGTCAAGTAAGACATTTAATTTTCCATAAACTCTCTTCTAGTCTTGAACAAAAATGAACTGTATTTAGGTTTCTAAAGTGTTTTCCTAACTTTCTGCTGCCTCAATCTGAAACTTCTTCTAAAACTCTTATCTGTTACAGCCAGAAACCTGAATGGCATCCAGGTTTTATCATTTTTCTGCTGACTTTTTACTAACTAAACTTGACGTGAAGTCACAATGTTACACTTGCATGACAAGACGTTGGAGCTAGCAAAAGCAAAAGGGTCTTCTGTTGTACTAGAAGTAAAATGGTTTTATTTTTCAGCCTTAAACCGTCTGACATGTTGCACGCTGGTTACTTGGTGAAATATGAGACTTCTTTATCTTATATCTGCCATTGCAGATCTATGCTGTAGGAATCTTGTGCACTACTACAAAAGCCAAGGAAGTTTTTAGACTTGTGTAATCCATAGACACCTCCCCTTGGAGTGAGAGGCATTGGAGCCTTTATCCCTTAACCATTCCTTATTCCTCTTTCCAGTGGTCTGAGACATCTCCTCTAGTAGCATTAGGATTTAGGAGACTCCACTCCAGTGATTTAGTCTCAACTGGGATGCAGTGGTGTGGGTACACCACTATGGCAGCAACCAGGTAAAAATGCCTTGCACACCAGGAAGGGCTATGGCGCGTGTGCACTCCTTGCCCCTTCACCTCCCCATGCTCTTCCACCTACCTCCTGCATCTTTTTTCAAGAGACACAATGCAGGGTCAGACCAAGAAAGGGCTGGCTCCACTGCCTGTTTTAGGATCATTGGAGGACCTTATTGAGGCAGGAGGGCATGTGCCTGCTGCAGCCCTTCCCAGCCTGGCTGTGCAGCAGATGCTTGGGGCAGTTTTACCTGCTAGCAGTTGCACCCAGCTGAGAACCACTAAGGTAAGCTGAGGCAGCACCACCAGTGGGTCTCAACCAGGGATGCCACCACGTTCAAAAAAATTTGTGGAGCAGCGACCTGACTCTAAAGAGGCTGCGAACCTCTGGATTAAATCCATAACATTTATTCTTAGTTGTAAAAGGGCTTCTCTACTCTGTTGGACCTAGATCAGGGATCCATGATGAAGAGTTGGTAATCGTGCCCTATGAAATGTCCATTTCAAGTGCTAAGGCTACTTACGTGAAGTGTTCAGGTGAGAGGCGCTCATGGGAGAACCGTCTGGGCAGATTTACACTAGTGCTGATATCTTTGTCCCTGTGGGTTGACTGTTTGTTTGCCTCTCCCAGCATTACCTCCTTCCTGTCCTCCCACTCCCTTTTTCTTATAGTCCAGTCAGTCTCTCTGTTTGATAGACTGCTCTGTGCATATCTTTTTCATAGCATCTGACCAAGTGAAGGCTCGTGAAAGCTTACGCATCTCTGATACAGTTAGTCTGCAAAGTGCATGTCTGCCCTGCCTTGTGCCTGATTTCAGGCTAACAACTAATTACCTCTCTCTGCTCATGGGTGATTAAAATAGTTCTGCAGACTCTACAGAGAAAGCTTTGACTTGTGGAAATGAACCTTTCTTGGCTGTAAGAGATACTGTATATCAAATTGGTAGTATCAGGAGATTTGGAAATTCTTGAATTTTTATTATCCTAGGTCACTTATATGTGTGCAGGCTGGGGGCGGGGGCGTTTTAATCAGAGCAGCTCCTGAGAGCCACTCTAATTAAAACGCTCGCAGTGTCTCTTGTTTTCAGTGCCCTGGATTTCAAAACGATGGTGGGGGTTCATCGTTCGACAAGCATTAGTTAAAGCAACTCCACTGCCACTTTGAAATGGCAGGACGCTGAATACATGAGAAGCTGTGGCGTGCTGGAGCATTCTGATTTACACCTCTGCCGCAGACGCAGTTAATGGCGAATTAATCAGAACCTGTTGGACCGTGTGGGAAAGCATCCTTGGATCCCATATCTGCCAGTGAAGGGAGATCTTTTAGATTGGATCACAGTTAATTCAATTCTAGGAGCCTCTTTCTGCAAGCTGAGCTGTTGAATCCTCTAAGGATCAAAACTGGTTTCAGTTTCCTTGAAAATAAGGTGACCGAGGCCTGCAGAGGGACCCAGCTCTGGGTACGAGAACCGCACTTACGCTGGCTTTTGCAATGCTACGCCAGTTCGGACCTTACCCTGTCCGGCTGGCTTGTTTAAATCCTAAAAATCCTCGAAGTGGCAGCATGCTCTTGTATTGGAGACAGCTGGTCGCTTCTTGGGGGCCTTTAAAATTTATATTCTCATTTGGGACTTGGTTTTCAAGGCCTTTGTATGCCTTATGGAAAAAATCTTTCTGAGCAAATAGTTGGTTCACAGCCTGAATTCTTCACTCCTCAGATCTGTTGTTTTTAGTTACCATTGAGGTTGGTTTTTGGGGGGTTTTTTCCTCCTCTGCGATGGTCCTGTCTGTTGGGCAGCTGTCTTGTACAGTCCTTCTGGTCTTTCTGAGCACTTATTTAATTAAATAAGATTTTTCTCCCTAGGGATTCAGGGCCGCATGAGGAGGTGACTTGTGGCTTCCCTTTGACAGCAAATAATGATGATTTCTTGCAGTAGGAATTAGCTTTGAGGTCTTTCTGCTAGGTCACAGTCATCCAGGGATTTGGGTTTGCTTAGAATATTCCCTGTCTTTCTGAGAAACCTCTCTGGAAATGTTTGTTTTTAAAGGAGGACTTCTGAACCCCTTTGGAGGTGGAAAGCAAGAGTCAAGAGAAGCTTAAGACACTCAAGCATGCCCTGGGGAGTCTTGGTGCAGACTCACAGATGACAAGAGTTTAACTGGTGGGGAAACATGGCTGAAATCTTTGGACATCTCCATAACCTAAAGAAGAAAAATGCTAGAGCAGAAAGGAAAGGAGCAGATTGTTTTGTTTTTTTTTTTTATGCAAGTCTCCCAGGGCCTTGCTGAAGTGTGGATTTGCCTAGTGTCTGCTCATCCTTATAGCCAGATTCCAACAAAATTTCTGGATGCATTAATGGTACTGAAGGCCTTGGGTATTGTAACACATTTCCATTGAGCTTTTTGAGCCCTGAAGTTTCATCTTGGTACTTTTCCACCTGTTTGTGCAAATATTTTTGTTTAGCCCCTTGTCCTTCTTAAGACATGGGCAGTTTTGAAAGCCTGTGCAGAAACAAAGCAAGCAAACAAGTGCCTTTTGTCCAAATTGTGTTCACATTGCTGTTTCTTGCAGCAAGATCTACCTGTGGTACACCACTTGCCAAGCAGACACGGTAATAAAATACTGCACTATATAACTTTGCTAACCAATAGCTTGTTGGAAACAAGACTGTATAACCTGCATTTCAGACTTTGTGTTTAGGTTATGGCCATTGAACTTATAAAACATGTGAGACAGGAATCAGCTGCTTTAAATAACTTTTTTTGTTCTTAGAATCACAATTGAACTGTTTTTGTTAAGTGGCTTTTGATTCATTTTTACTAGAGCAGTTTGTTGTTAAACTTTCCCGTGAAGCTGAATACAAACATTTTAATATAGTCTTAATATGAATATTTGACTCGTGCTTCATGCTATATGTCAGGTTTATGTAAGGGCCTGATCTGTGGAAGGGAGCTCTGTGAAACTTGCCTTTAAGTGTACAGTTGAGTTGCTTGTTGGCAGGGATTCCCCCGCACCTTCTCCCCCAGAAAGGATGGTGGTAGGAGTCTGCATCCCCTGCTATACATGTACATAAGCCAGAAATTACTTTATAAAGATAAGGGCACTGAACAGATCCCTATAGTATTTTGCTAGGAGAGCTTGACATTTTTCAAGTAAAATGAAACAAGGCCATGTTAATTTGTGTTTAAACAAAACTGATATATTCGTATGTATTTAATCAACATTTCTATGTGTGCATGTGCACGCCCTTCCCATTGGATTTAAGTACACATGAATATCTTTTATGTGCCCATGCAATTTAAAGATGCGATGTACAAAGATGAGATGTAGAGTGTTCCAGAATGTCAGTTCTGAAACAAGTTAATAGGAATCTAATAGGAGTTCATAGGAATTATTTTCCAGGGCTTTGCAAATTTTGCTTGCCACTCTGGCCAAATCTTTGGAATACCTTGTTTGCTTGTTGCCCTAATAATCCATTTAGAAGCTGAATTCTCATTGTGACCAGATCCATTGCTAACGCAATACTTTTGCCATGGAGGGTGACTATTCTGCAGTAAACGCACTTGAGAGATGGTGCAGGCTGTTGGAAAGAGCACTGAAGTAGGAGCTAGGGATTCCTTCTTGTCTCCTTTGCTTAGCAGCTGCTGGAAAGTTACCTAACCTGTTTTTTAACCCATCAGTAATGTACGCACACTTATCTCACAGGAGTGCACAGAGGATTGTTTGCACAGCGCTTGGAAGATGAAAAGGTGCTAGCATTAGTCCTTTGTATTTAAACACACTGCTGAGTAGAAAGCCTTCTTGGAAAAATCTAGCGTGGGCACTGGTAGTGTCAGGAGCTCTTGATGGACAGCCTTGCTTGTAAAGACAAAAGCTCATTCTCTACATTGTGTATTCCCTATTTCCTGAAGGATATTTCATCTCTGTAGTGATGACCTGATATTGCCTGCCTTCGCTCATTGGAGGCTTTCAAAGTATTATGCAGTGTTGATTTTCCCACTTCTAAAATGGTGGCAGTCTGAAGGTATGTAGGTGAAATCACATGCAGAAGTTCGTATAGGAGGAAAACTTTGGTTTCCTAATGATTAATTCTCACAATACCTGCAACCTAACTCATGTATTACTAAAATTATTGATGAAAGGCAATTGCTGTAGGGTATTATTCACAATCCATTAATCCTGGCTTGTATTGGAATACTTCAGCCGACTTGGAGGCCCCCTGTTCATTCACTGACAATAAGGTAGACCATTCAGGGCTGCCTGTCTTTCAGCATTGTAGTCTCTTCTTCCCAAAACAGTGGATGCTTTGATTTTTAATTAACGTAACATGTTTAAAAATATAGTTGTGCTCTTCTGTTGTAACAGTGCACTGTAATCATTCCCTCTGCCTCCCTAAAAGCTCTCTCTGCTTTTGGTCTTGCAAGTCAAATTAACATTAAATTGCCATAATTTTGCATTCTGTCAGTGGGAAGCCATCTGACAGCAGAGCGCTGAAGGCGGCCAAGTAGAATCGAATACATCAGAACATACATTTGTCATCGAGGAGGACTTTAAAAGTGGTTTTGCTTCTCAAATCTGAGCATGCGTACCAACACTTAATATGAGCATCAGCAAAACTGCAGCTGGGAAGAGAGAAGTCCTGGTCTTGCTGTTCTCGTGGAAGGTGCCCAGTGCTATAGAAGGGGGAGAGGTATCTCTGAATCCTCGCCTCGGTGATGTCCTCTTGGCTCAGTGACTCGTAGGGGCAGTAAAGCTTTAATCTTTTCAGTGGTAGCTCAGATGCGTTTCTGAATTTTTAATTCCCCCTACTCGGCTGCATACCAGTCACTCGGGCGGTGCTGAGGAGGAACCGAGTGTGCTTACTGTAGCTTTGGGTTTGTAGAAGTTGCTGGCACAGATTTCTTTGCTCTTATCAGAGCCTTATAGAGTTTACTCCACGTTTAGTATTGGGGCAGTATGAAAAGGCTGCTTTACCCGTGGAAGTTGGGGGTGGGGAAACAGTCCCTCCCAATGTTTATATAATTGACTTCTGTCAAAGGCTAATGACTTGAATTGTTCAGATTACAGTTCCAGGTTATTAAGTTTCATGTGTAAGACGTTCGTCATGTTGAACATTAGACTGCTTGCCTTGCCAAGCTTCTAAGGAGGGTTGTGACTAAGTCAACATGTGTTCTGTTTCCTACATGTAACGTTTTCCTTTACTTAATATATTCAGTATTGAGAGCAAACATGAAGTCACAATCCTAGGAGGACTCAATGAATTTGTAGTGAAGTTTTATGGACCACAAGGAAGTAAGTATATGTTGTGCCTTCCATGAACCCAGCGTCACAAGCTAATGCTTTATGATGGCTTCGGGAGAAACGGAAGTGGATGACCAACTACCACATCCCTTATTCCTGTCTAGAGACTGGGAGTAGCTGAGAAATGTGGAAACTGGGGCAAGGTGTCAGCAGCTGTCATTGTGTTTTAGGTTGCATTTTGTCCTCAGTCTGTCATCCCCCTCCTCCCCATGGATAGTGAGGGAAGGTGGGGGAGGAACCGAATTTCAGACACTAACCCTGGATGAATGTGGCTACTCATAGCTGGATGCAGGTTGGGAGTGGCTGCTGTGCAAAAGTTGCAGCTCTGCCTTTTGCAGGCTAAGTCTGAGGTCCTCAGTGACATTCCCCTTGGTGCTCAGCACCCCCAACTCGGGGCCTCTGAGCTTTGCATCTTCTGCCGAATGTTGTGGAGCATTTGTAAGCCATGTTGAAGACGGAGATGGATTATTGCAAAAGATTGGATCCCTTGCTGGGTTTCTAACATGTCTGAGTTTAGTAATGCCTCTGAAGGTAAGTAGATTATTCAAAACTATCATTTGAATAGGACTTGTGGGTCCTTGGGATGAAAGCAAAGGCTGTATTTAAATTCTGTTGTCTTTGTAAAGGATGTAGCCCCTCACTACTCTGGGAAGGCCTTTACTGTAGGTCTTCCTATCAAAGTTGTGCCTCAGAGGAGGCTTGACATGGGGTCTTGTTCCAAATCCTTTTTTTCCAAGGTCTTGTGTTGCTAAATGCCATTGCATTTTTCCTCTAGCCAGAGCTCTGCAGTATGTCTAATTCCCACATTTTTTTTGTCTCATTGCAGCACCATATGAAGGTGGAGTGTGGAAAGTTAGAGTGGACCTTCCTGATAAATACCCATTCAAATCCCCATCTATAGGTAACCAATCCACACTTCCACTCTGTCTTTCTTGTTTGTCTAATGCCATTTTGCATTCATAAATTTAATTCTACCAAGAATTCCCAAAATAAGGTTGGTGGGATTTTTGGCTTTGTTGTTTTTTTTTTTTGGTGGTTTTTTTTTTTTTAAAACCGCTTGGCAGGAAAGCAGAGATCTCCTGTGTATTTGAGCTTTCTATACAGAATATTTATAAAGCCTATAGGGAGAATGAATTTGCTGTTTAAAATACTGGATTAGGAGTTGAATTTATGGGTTCAGTTCCTGATCCAGCTCCAAAGTTTCCCTCCATGACCATGAGCAAATTTAAGCTGTCAGTTTTCCCATTTGTCAAGATGCAGGTACTTCACCACCTAGGAGGGGACTGGAATGATTGGTGGGTTTTCTGGGTTTTTTTTTGTTTTTTTTTTTAAGTGCTCAAGATACTATAGTGAATGAGGAGAGTGCAATGCACATGTCTACCTCGACTGAATTATTCATTAACATGCACTGGGGTCTGTGCGCTTTATTACTGTAATGTTCGTGTTTGGATTGACCTTGTGTTTGAAGTAAGCTGTTTAAAAATCTCTTCAGTGTCATGAAAGGAAACTAAAAATGGAGAAGATGGAACCTGCATCACCTTCCATTTACGTTCTTGTATGCCGTGAAAGAATGTAGGTCTCTGCTTATATAATCAGAATAACGATCAGCTGATGCAACTGTGGTGGTGGGTGGCTGAAATAGTAATTCACCTGTCCGTACTGAATCAGTAAAGAGCATGGTAAGCAAAAGTTTTCATGGTAGGACACATCCATATCATGTCTCTTAGTTTTTGAATAGTAGCAGCCAGACTTCACTGTCCTCCACCATATTCTCTGATAGTTTGGGCTAACTTGAACACAGAATTTTCAGCCTTTCTTGAAAGAAAAAAAACACAGCAAATTCAACTGCATGATTGGGTTTCCCCACCATTTTCTTGAGGTATGAAATAAGTAGAGTGACAATGGCAGCTTCCAGTTGAAAAGTATTTGTAGTTCAGTCAACTGAAATTATCTTAAACTCTTCCATCCATCTAAAACCCCAAGAAAATATCTTGAGGAAAACTGGCATGGAAACTTGACTAAGTGGGTTGGACTAGATGGGTCCCTTCCAATACCAGCCTCCTGGTTCTAAATTGTCGCGCGTTCATTGATTACTTAAAATAGACTCTGACACTGAGCCTTCTTTCTATTTTTAAAATCTTTGTCTCTTGTGAGAACAAATCTCTCATCTCTTGTGCTAACTATTCCCTTTGGGGATGATGAAGCTGCATATGCAGTGTGTGTGATTTATATAAAAATCCTAACTGGGTGACCAAGATGCATGCATATCTGAACTGATCTCATTCCTGCAACCTTACTACTTCCTTTTGCGCTCTACAGTGCTGGATCTGAAATTTTAAATTGTAAGACCTTTGTGTTGGAGCCTGTGTATCCAAGAAGTGCGAAGTGCTTCTGGGTGTTAGGAGATGAGAATAAATTCACAAGAACCATTATTTCTGTGCTGTAATCTTTAGTGCGAATGTGGAGTTGGCTGTGGACTAACTTCAGAAAGCATCTAACCCCTGCTTGACCTAGCGAACACACTTTTTGGCTTTTAAACCTTTTGTCAAAGTGCAGTTGTACTTTTCCTTTCACCTGATCTGCTGTTTCCCATGCTGGGAGTTGCGGCTGCTGACTTGGCAGCAAGGGCACACGTTATTCCTGTTAACCATGCTGAGTCTACGCAACGCGGACCAAGCCAGGGTCTCTTCCAGGAATTGTTCGCCGCGGTCCAGTGAAAGCACTGGGACTGCCCAGGACACGGTTTGCTCCTGGGGGGTGTTTAGTTCTGCTTGCGATGCAGAACTTGGTTGTAGCTCCATTGGGCTCTGTTTTGATGTCTGTGTCATTTTAGTCAGCCTTCAAAGGAGACTTGCACTCACGTACCCCCTATAAAGCTCTCTTCTTCCTTCCTAGTGTTCCTTTCACTTGATCCTTGTAGTAGAGGGTCTGTGGCCCAAATCCAGCTCCCATTCAGACAGGTACATAGCCTGTATGCAGCTAAAGTTGGCTACGCAATTGGCATGTGGGGACATGTACTCAGATTTTAGATCCTGCTCACGGGTATATGCCTTGGGTTTTTTTGCCGTCTTGAGGATAGACTCAGTAGGGATCCACTCTGGTTGTCCTTTGCAGGAGTTTTACTTCCCCTAGGTAGGCATGTGAACCTTCTGCAAATCTCCAAAATGTTGGTCACAGAAAAATCATAACTAGTGACTGCAGGAAGAACCTTTTAGCTCAGTAGGTTAGCAGTTGGGGAACTTGATCCAGGCTTAAGCTGTCACCCCGTTCCCTCCCAAGGGTGTTTAAACCTGTCTCTTAGTGTGCTTACCACCAAGCCTTGGGCTAGGCATTGCACAGAACACCCTCGGCTTCTGCCCAACTGGCCTGGTGAGCAGGCAAGAGGGGCAGGAGATCAAACCAGAGGGAGTGTGGCCCAGTGAGGTGTTAAGTGCTCTGTATAGAAGTGCTTTCACTGCAGGTCCCTGCTCCCTGATGGGACTGAGATGGAGAAAATCCTGCAATGATGCACTGCCCTGTTGCAGCTGGTGGCTGTTGCTGTTCATTCTGGTTTCCTTGGAGCACACAGTTCATTGACACCACTCACCCCTGCCACCTCTGAGTAAGGCAGCTCTGATTCTGGACAGCGAAAGACTGTGGCTCACCTGGAAGGAGTCCTGGTTTGGTCTAATTTTATTGATCCGTAACAGAAGGAAAAGGGGAAAGATGACTTCAGCGAGAGAGCTCTGTTGTCCAGTTCTAGGGACAGCTCTTTCCAAGAGGCAGGAGAAGCTTTCTTTGCATGAAAAATGTAGATCCCACCACACTGGTTGCACATGCATGCAGAGTTTAAATAGGCAGCCAAAGTCGCTGGCTCATAAAGTTGTAACCCTTATCTCTAACAAATGACATCTCGCATACAGAGATGTTCAGACAACAGTGCTGCTTTTGCCACTTCCCTGTGTCTTTGGTGCGCTGTACTGAAATATATCAGTCCATTTAAAAACTCTTAATGTGAACTTTGCAAAAAAGGGAAGAGAAAAGTCCATTCAAGAAATGTGGTGGCTTCCTAAAAGGTATTGAAGTTCCAAAACTCTGCTCTTGATGAACGGCAGTTAGTCTTCCTTGTATGAAAAGTGGGCCCTGATGAACCCTTTCCAATCGGCTTTTATCCCAGCAGGGCACTGAATAAGAACTTGACTGAGCCTGTTGTTTGGAGTGTACTTCACTTCTGTGTTTTCCTCCGAAATGTTACTAAAATTACTGTCCCCTTTCTTAGGTTAGAGGCATTGGATTTATTTGTGCTGCTGCAGGGTAGGTCTTCAAGAAAAGATTTTAAAACGGAGGACCTGCCTTTTTGTCACTGAAAATCCTGTGATTAGCTGTAGAAGTAGTTTTGGCTCAGCTGTGGTGCTTGATATATTGTTTTTATCCAGTTTGGGTCTCTCCTCCCCTCCCATTGCTTTTGGGTTATATAAGGCATTTTCTTCTGTCCTTTTTGTTTTTGAACATATTGCTCTACCTTGTTAAAGAATGCCCTGCCCCAGAGAGAGTGCTCTCCCAATAATGTGAGGAGTGCTTCCTATTTATAGTTTATCAAGCATCCTGGGATCTTTCTTCATGAAAGATGCCATCAGAATGGAGGTTCTCACTAATGCACTTACAGCTTTCATTATTTTGGCCTGTGGGTTCCTGCCACCTACTTCTGACTTTGCATATTCATTGCTACCTTTCTGCTTGTCAGATAAATCACTGAAGTTACCAGGCTCAAAATAGTCTCTAACTTTCCATGGCAGAAGAATATTCTTTCAAAGACACTGGCATTTCATTTTTGAAGGCAGGAATATAAACTTAAATGCAGATGTGTCAGGCTGGCTCTGATCTTGATTTCAGATGTGGAGAGAAAGCAAATATTCACTCGGTCACAATTGTGGAGCCTGGAGTTAAAATCTAAGCCACTCAGTCTGGAGGGGGGCACATCTGTTCGTCTTCCAGGAAAAAATTGTCCAGTT